CTTATAGTATTATACCCTCCTATCCTTAGGTTCTTATAGTATTATACCCTCCTATCCTTAGGTTCTTATAGTATTATACCCTCCTATCCTTAGGTTCTTATAGTATTATACCCTCCTATCCTTAGGTTCTTATAGTATTATACCCTCCTATCCTTAGGTTCTTATAGTATTATACCCTCCTATCCTTAGGTTCTTATAGTATTATACCCACCTATCCTTAGGTTCTTATAGTATCATACCCTCTGTTTCTTCTATTCTTATAATATTAAAGAGCTAGTTACTTTATTTCTACTAGTTATAGTATCCGACAGGCCACTTGCATTCTGATTAGCTAGTTATTTTATTTCTACTAGTTATAGTATCCGACAGGCCACTTGCATTCTGATGAGCTAGTTATTTTATTTCTACTAGTTATAGTATCCGACAGGCCACTTGCATTCTGATGAGCTAGTTATTTTATTTCTACTAGTTATAGTATCCGACAGGCCACTTGCATTCTGATGAGCTAGTTACTTTATTTCTACTAGTTATAGTATCCGACAGGCCACTTGCATTCTGATGAGCTAGTTACTTTATTTCTACTAGTTATAGTATCCGACAGGCCACTTGCATTCTGATCTTGTGATTGGAGCAAGCCGCTGTTCTATTCTTGGTATCATGAAACCCCGCGTTTCTTCTTTGATTATAACATTAGTTTTCTATATTTTTCATGTTCAATCCGTAACGACCATGACTACAATAATTTAAACAATTATCGTACATAAAACCAGTAACAACAGATATCTACAATCTTTAAGTTCTACAATATATAGAAATTACTGAGGAAAGCGATATAATATAGTTTTAAAATTTCATCTTAATTACCGAAAGCAAAAAAAACAATAACACTATATTCGCATGTTTGTCGCAGTTATATTAAATGAAACAGTGTGACGTAAGATAACTTACTTGAACTCAGTTGAAAAGCTAAACTTAAAGGGAAAAAATACTACGTTACTATTCAACCGCCATATTTTTAAGCGGTATTCATATATATATATATATATTTGCAGGTTTAAAAGTTTTATAAGAAAACACACACACACACATATAGATATATACTACGGAAAAAACTGAAAAAACGAAGTATTATATGATAATAATTGATCATCGAACTGGGCCTGAGATGTTCTCAAAGGCGACCAAACTCGCTTCTGTAAAATGAATTCGAATTTAAACACACAAAATAAGTGATATTTAGGCAAAACCAATTATTTATTAGTATCTTAGACATTAGTGTTACAATATATATATCCGCATTTGTTCATTAGTATACCAACTTTACCTCCCAAACTTTACAGACGGGTAATATGTCGCACACTCTTATTTAATACAAGTAACTATTTTCAGTTTTAAAATGTTATTAACTAAAAAGCTAAATTACAGGGCTACATACACACACACACACACATAAAACAACAACAACAACCAAAAACAAACGTGATTCACTCAAATGTGGCCCGGCATGGCCAGGTGATTAAGGCACTCGACTCGCAATCTGCGGGTCGCGGGTTCGCATCCCCATCCCATCAAACATGCTCGCCCTTTCAGCCGTGGGGGCGTTATAATGTG